AAATATCATATCATAAACATATCAAAAATTGCGCGGTAAAACTTTCGTCAATACAAAATTATACGCGTTTTTCGGTAACGGAAACACAAAACTGAGCACAGAAATATCAAAACTCGAAATCTTCGAAAACAGAAATAGGATTCGGAGTTCTTACTGCGAGATAAATAAATCTTCCAACTGCGTCGTCGGACGAAAAGCGCTCCGCGGGCCCCAAAACCAAGCTTTTCCTTCTTTCTCTCTCTTGATTTCTCTTTCTCTCTCTTCAAATGAATCCAAAATATCTCTATCGAATATTTATTAACACTGATCGTCCCGGACGATCCAAAATTCGTCCCGGAACGATTTGCCCTCTGGCAGAATTTCGTCCCGGAACGATTTGCCCTCTGGCATAATTTCGTCCAGACGAAATTAAATAGCGTCTGGACGACTTGCTCTCTGGACAAATTTCGTCCAGACGGATTGTCCCGACCCTTCCAGGTTCATACAGACGAAATTGACAGATTTATTCACAATTTCTTCAGTTCGTCCGGGACTAAGGCCAGATCGTACGGACTAACTGCACTCAAAAAAATTAGCTTTAGAGGGGTTTTACATGTAGTTTGAACACTTGAAATACAACCATTATGGATCACAGAACATTCTGCCATATATTCAGCACCAACAACCCCCATGAGGTTTGTGTTTGATTGCTCTCTATCTACCTCTTCTACTGAGATAACTAACTCAGCACGAAAATTTCCACTTGAATGTTTAACCATCTCTACCACGTCTATGTCAGTATTTGTAATTTTGTATTCCTTCGGTGATGTTTTGTGAATGTGATAATGCATACTATATTTATACCCTTTAAGCCATGGACATATTTTAAGAATCTCTGTTTTGAGCATAAAAAGATTCATACTTCCTTTCTCAATTTTGACAGTCCTTTGTTTGCCACCATTATATATCTTTCTAAAGTTATCATTGGTATCAACCCAAAATCCTCCATATTTAATTGTAACAAAAAAATGCCCTTCATTCTCTCCACATAAATCATCACAATCCATTCTAGACAAAGTATGCCGCCCACTAGCAATTTCTTTTTCAACTATAACCTGAAATAATAAGACAAATTAAACACCACATTTTTAGAAAAAAAATGTAAAAATAAAAGAGAATGAGGAGAAAGTAAAAAGAGGGAGAAGGCTATGCAGCTAGTAAAAAGAGGAGAAAGTAAAACAGAGTGGCAGATAGAACAATCTAAAGTAAAAGAGGGAGAAGGCTATGCGGAAGAAAGGATTAACCTAAAGTTTATGTGCGACAAAACAGAAGAAGCCGGACAAAATCAGGAGTGAAATGGAGTGGCAGAACAACCTTTTCTCTCTCCAGCCTTCCGGATGTAGGTGCTTCCGCGCAAAATTTCAACGCACAACGCGGGAAATTACGAGAGATGAAACGGAGTGAGCGGAGTGAAACGGAGTGGCAGATATGAGGTGAAGTTTGTGTTTGAGTTGTTGTTTTGTAATATTTAAGTTTTAGGTGTTAGATATGTAAAATATAAGGTATAAAGTGGTATGTATGTAAAAACCCCAAAAATTAAATTATTAGTGTCATTTCAGAATAATTTTGATAGGAGCAAAGTTGTCAAACTATTTGGCACATTTTTAGGAGAGATTATTCTGTAGTGATGTCGAACATAGTTCTCCGCTCTGAGGCTAATCATAATATGTCACGTCTGTGTTATCAAGTTGGGTACCGAGCGGTACTGAGTCAGGTACCGAACAGGGGTGATGTGGCGTATTCTGATTTGCCTCCGGATAGCATCTAACATCCGTACATAATAATCTCACAGTTTTTTTGGAGAATCAAAATAATGTTTTATTTCTCAAATTTTGAGAATTATAAGCATATAAAGTTAAATTTTCCTAATCCAATATATTTCTTAAACTATAAAATATTTTTTTATATTATATGACATTAATTTAATATAAAAAATGTCGATTATTTATTTGTAAGCAAACTTAGAAAACAATCAAAATATCTTGCAATAAAATAAATAATATTTTAAACTAAATTAAGTTCATGATTTTTTATGATAGCCTCTCATGATAAAATATATTTAGTGTTATCAAAAAAATAAACCTCTTAATTATTAGTCGAATTAGGAGTTAACTATGAGGGCGACATGAGCGCTTGTCGCCTCTTGATTTTAAAGTCAAGTGTTGTAAATATGGATATGCTCTGATGGATGAATAGCTTTACATATAAAGACAGAATGTGACACAAGTATATAAGTGAAAAGGTTGGAGTAGCTCTAGTGTTAGATAAGATTAGAGAGAATTGTCTTACATGATTTGGTCATATAAATTGTCAGCCTTTCGATAACCCTATTAGATTAATAGTTGTATTAGATTCCATTTAGATTAAGAAATGTAGCTATAAACCTAAAAAGGCTTGTCTATAAAGTATTAAAAAGGATATTTTTTTATAAGATTTAATAAGAATTTAACTATTAATATGATATAATGGAGAAAAATGATTCATGTAGCCTATTTCATGTAGTGAGAGAAAAGGCTTATATTATTATTGTTCTTATTCTAGCCTCTTTGCCATGAATTAGGACTTTGCCTTCTTGAGCCTTAGGCTTCTAGGCAGCTTTCTTACTGCTCTTTAAATAACTTTTAAGAATAAAGTTTTCTTAAACTAAAAATTTTTATATTAAAAAACTGCTTTAAAAAATAGTAAAAAAATCGTCCCAAATAAAACCTCAGGCTTCCTACTTTGTCGTTTCTTCTGCCTTCTAATGTTTTTTGTAGTTAAGAGGCAAAATCAAGTAGGCAAATTAAAGTGTGCCGAACATACATAATGGTAGTCGCATTTGAGTTCTCTTTATAGTTTGGTTATAGCTTATATGATCCTTTTGTGTCGTTTTACAAGAAATTCTTAAGGAAATACATGGACTCAAAGGAGTGCGACTAATACATCTAGCTTACGATATGAAGATCTAATTTGATTTTATTTTTGGTTTACATCTTAATGATATATTCAATTGTTTGGAATTTTGATGCAATCAAAAAGCATCAGTCACAATTTAGGATGCCTAACAATAAAGCTTAAATAAAATATTTTTCTTTTTCTTTTTTAGCTTTGTGAAATGTTCTTATTTATATATTTTTTAACTACTTAGGTCTAGACTCCCATAAGCTGAAAACCAAGAGTTCACACGAATCACTCAGGTCTAGACTCGCCCCCCAAGCAGCATCCACTAAAGTCACTTGGGGCCAACTAGGGCTAAGTGGAATAAATGACAATCACTCATCCAAGCTAAAAGGAAGTACCTCAAGAGGATTCTAGCTCGCCTCACCACACTCACCTGACCATGGAGTTCGCTACTCCAACAACTTGAACAGACTTGCCTCCCACATCGAAGCAATCATGAGACTCCATAAAAAAGGCAGTGATCAACTTCAAGGGATTCATCCGCTATAGTCTTTTTGGCTTAGCTCTCATCAGCTGACTGACCCATATCTACTCAAAGAACTCACCCTAAACAAAGGATTCCAAAGAAAGGAAACAATTATTCATGGAGTCTATTAGGTTTAACATGCATGTGTCTAAGACAATATGTATCATGGTTATTTAATGTTGTACTTTTTATTACTTGTTGAAGTAGCATTTGTCATTACGACTTAGGTCTAGACTCCCATAAGCTGGGAACCAAGAATTCACACGAACCACTCAGGTTTAGACTCGCCCCCCAAGCAGCATCCACTAAAGTCACTTGGGGCTAACTAGGGCGAAATGGAAGTAATGACAGTCACTCATCCAAGCTAAAAAGAAGGACCTCAAGAGGATTTCTGCTCGCCTCAGCACACTCACCCAACCATGGAAAGTGCACTACTCCGGCAACTTGAACAGACTTGCCTCCCACATCGAAGCAATCATGAGTCTCCATAAAAATTGCAGCCATCAACTTCAAGGGATTCATCAGCTATAGTCTTCACAGCTCAGCCCTTATCAATTGACTCGCCCATGTTTACTCAGAGAACTCACCCTGAAACAAAGGAGTCCAAAGAAAGGAAACAACTATGCATGGAGTCTATCAGGGTTTAACATGCATGTGTCTAAGACAATATGTACCATGGTTATTTAATATTGTACTTTTTATTACTTGTTGAAGTAGCATTTGTCATTACCATCACATCCCTATAAATAAAAGGTGAAGAACATCTTGAATCTTTCAATACACCCTAAAGAGACACTTGAACTAATAGAATATTTTCCACCTAACTTTTATATTCTCTTTCTCTATCCATGAGTACCAATCTCCTAGGCTTACTTGCTAAAAAGATCAGGTGTCGCCCACTTACGAAATAGGATCCAACAATTTCAATTTTCCTTAGTTTTTTGTAATTTCTAAAACAGGTTTTAAATATTAAGTTACAATAAATGAAGATTATAAATTATATAAACTAAATTAATCAAAATTAGTAAAAAAAATAGTTTAAAATGTTACAACTTCTTAAATATTTTTTTTTAAATGCTAAATGATCCTCTCTAAAGCATATTTTTTGATAAATTAATTTATAAAAATAAGTTAAACCTCCACCATAACATGTCATATCCAAAGTCTAACATATCGAAGACATCCTTTTACTCATCAATTAACTCATACCATATTCAAATACTACACTGAAAGCCAGTGACATTATGTATTTGAAAGGAAAAAAATATTTTGTGCGGGTCATCGAACAATTCAAAGGTGAAATTAGAACGCTCCATGTCATCTCGTATCGAGCAGTACATAACAGTAGTACACAGCAAAAAAAAATGATGTGATGCGTTTTCATTCGTCTTTAATCGCCTTTCGCACATAATATATTTTTCTTTGAAAGAAACCAAAATTTTGACAAATACCACTTTCAGTTTACCCTCGTTCTCTTCCCTCCTCCTCCACCTCCTCTGTTTTCCAACAGGAACACATAAAAAATCTCAGAAGAACTAGCAATCAAAAACCTAATCAGAAACTCCCAAAGTTCTCTCATTTCAGAAACGGGAAGCAGGGAAAGCTAAAAAAAAAAAAAGGAAAACAAGTTGTTTGATAATGATACAGAAGCATAGGCATACGTACATGGAAAAGGACACATCAATGGGAGTTTTTTGCAGAAAATTATCTGCCTCGCTTTCATCGCTCTATCTCTCTCCTGTCACAAGAATATTTAAAACTAGAGGAAAATTACAGTGCGGTTTCAGAACCGTCAGCTCCTCCCCTGTTTTCTTTTAGTTTCAGGGCATGAAGAGCTTGTTGCCGCATTTGCATCGCCAGGCTTCAGGGTAGTATTCGAGCGGTATGCTTCTACCAGGTTGGATTGCCACGTGGACTGGCCGGCAGGGGAAGCAGCGACCACAGCGCCATCGGCACGTCGGCGGCGAGGATCCCGGTCCGTTGAGAAGTTGCCGGCCGGTTGGGGCCTTCTGCCATTTCATGAAGCTGGTTTCTTCCTTGTGAACTATTTCTGCCGAACAGAAACCTGAGTTTTTTCCCAAAAGAAGAGAAAAACGAAAGCTTGTGAGAGGGGAACACTTGAATGTTACAAAAGGCTCTCCCTTTTTGATTAATGATGATTAAAAGTTGCATTTTTAGGAGAAATAATTGTGTCTTGAAGGATTTCAAGTCGTGGATGGTTCGGGCAAATTACGAAGAAGACCGTGAAAAAAGATGAGCTTTGGACTCCTTTTTGGTTAGGAGCAGAAGGAAAGGAGGGGATCTGCTTGCAAAGGCATTGACGGATTTTTCCTATAACAGGGAAGAAAGCAGCGTAGGGGAAAAATGTGGGAGGGGACCGCACTAATGCTAGAGACTATTAGATAAGAATAGCAAGTGGGTTTTGTAGCCGAGGAAAAATGTGGGGAAAGCAGCAGCGTTTCAGATCAGTGCATTGAAGAAAAAAATGACATTTTTTATGTCAGTGTTGCTTTTAGGATATTTGAATGACAAATTAGCGAAAGTTATCTTGGACTTGGTTGTTTAGTAGTCAGAGAAAGAAGTATACCTATTTCCATGGCGAAGAATAGGAGACAAACTAAGACGGCAGAGATGCTGCGGCCATGGCTCCGCCGGAGTCCCATGGCAAAGCTCGCCGGTGGCGCAGTTGTGTTCAGATGCAGACAGGTAGACCAGATAAACAGATCGACAGAGAAAGAGAGAGAGAGAAAGAGAGAAACTGTGTTGTGAGAAAGCGGGAAGGGAGACAGGCGTGTTGGGGAAGAAGAAACGGAGAGAGCGAGGGTAAATTTGTTTCCTTTAAGACGAAGGAGCAGGAGAGGCCGAAGAGGAAATAAGAGGCGCTGCTGTGGTTTGAATACAAACCGAATGACCAATTCTACATTGCTGTATTAGTACTGGACAGCTTAGAAGCTGACATTATAATAACAGTGGTAGACCTCCATATTGGAATAAATTAATATGTGATTGAAGTTAGGGCAACAATCCAAACTTGAGTTTGACCTAATTTTTCAAGTTGCAATCAAATTTATATGTAAGGAAATAAGTGTAAATTATTAAAAAAAAAAAGAGTTGAGAATGGTCCTTTTGTTTATGCTATAAATTACCATACAAACATGTATACAAACATGTATGTTTCCTATGATAGTTTGTGTATCAAGCTTTAGATTGCATGTTCTTGGCAAGTTTTCTTGTACTAGAAATTTAAATTTAGGAGACATCAAGTCTTCTACAATATAGTTTTATACATGTTATTGTTTGATCATCTCCAATCAAACTCCATACCAACATATGTCATCCGCCATTTGCTCCATTGGAATTATAAATCGCACACCAAATTCCAGTAGGTGAACGAAATGTTCACCTACGCCAAAAAAAAAAAATGTTGCGGGATTTGTCCAAGAAGCACGCGAAAGAGAGAAAAGCACGCCAAAGATGGTTACCTTCATAAGAAGTGCTTGAAAGAAAAAGAAACGACGTTCGATAGAACACAGATGACAGCATTTTGAAATTTTATTGCATTTTGGAGTGGAAAATTGATTTTTCGGTTGGAGTCTTGGAGATGCCCTTATTTTGTTGCATATGATATTTGAGTCTTAAGGCCATCTGCAATCGAAAAACTCATTTTCTACTCCAAAATATAATAACACTCCAAAATGCACAAACTCAACTTCAACCGAATTCCATTTCTTAACATTAAAAAAGAATATTCTATGTATATTCTTTCTCAACCAAATTTTCTGATTTATAAAAACGCGTCTGTGAACATAAAAGTCTTGATTGAAATCATAGCTATGTTTTATAATATAAAAGTTAACATAGAAGGATGTTAAAGTTTTCAAATATAAATTTCGGAAATAGCCAAATCAGGAAAGATCATGGTGGAATTCAATGGATGATTTGAGCATATAAATCTAAAAGACTAAGTATCTCCAAAGAGTCTAATTTTATATTGGGATATATATTTTAGAATAACTACTTAAATTTTTTATTAAATTTTATCAATATATTAGAAAGTATGGCCTATCATCTCACAATAATAATTACTTCACCATTAAGAAATTATAAAGATTATAGTTATGTCATTACAATAAGGATGTTAACCTCAAACCTAAATCAATAACATGCATGAGCTTAGCATACCGTTAAAGCATGATCCCTCTACTTGAATCTGATGTATACATTTATGATCGGACTCACAACTTAAAGCTCAAAGAGATTAAGAACGCACAACATGAGTTTTATAACCTCGAACAAAATGTATAACCAACTCAACTAATCTAATGCTTTAAAATTCATGACATCAAGCTCTCAATAAAAATACAAGATATGGTACTTAGTTTGTTATTAATTAAGAAGCATGACTTACGCATCAGGTCCTATTATGATAGAGAACTTTAATCTATTTGTTAACTTATAAGTATTATATATATATGTGTGCATTACCTAAAAATTATTTGCTTATCATAAAAAAAGTTATCCCTTTGTGAAAAATATATTAAACCAAACTACTATTGATATGGTTATAAAAACATAAATGGAGCAATTATGATTATTCAAATTTGAAATCATTAGTCTAAAAAGACCATATATTAGTTTTAATAAAAATTAAGTCCCATAAATAATTTTTTATTATGTACTTGTTAGGATAGAAGATTAAATTCCTTAGTAACTAGACAACCTAGGTGAACTACAATACTTCAATAAATAAAATGTATTAGTTTTAACCATGTCATCCTAAAGTCTTACAACTTATATTTAGAAGAGCTTGCTATTGTAAGAAGAAGAGAGAGAGGACTACCCATCTTAAGTCATAAATTCTTTGTTTAGGAGAGTTTGATAAATTTTAAAGAGCTAAAAGAATAGGGATAATCCATTTCAAGGTTCTAGATCTCATGTAGAAGGGATTAAATATTTTATAGGATTGAGGTAATATGAAAATCTATCATAAGCTCATAAATCCTATATGTATAGGGAGAATATTTCAAATGAATAAAAGGACAATTTTTTTACTTTAAGGTCCAATGATATAGATTTACCACCCTAGGTGGGGTGTCACATATTAAGGATATACCTCATAGATATAGGTAGTATGTGATATTTTTAAAAATCTAATGATGTACTATATTGAGTGAAAATTTTAAAACTTTAAATATTAATGAAACAAGACTTTCTTATTTTATATGTTTTAGTATAAATATGCATAAATGCTTTGAGCTTTTGCAACTTAATTTTGCTTAGGCTTTATGGTCTATTTAAGTACTATCAATTTTAGTCATTTCATGGATTATCTATTAATGATAATTAACTTTGAGCATTAAACTCATTTTAATGATAGATGATCATAATCATAGATATTAGGAAGGTTCATCTAGTTTTATGTAGAAATTCTAAATTAAAAATCATCATAATGATTTTTTTTTTGAGAAAATTATCTAATAAAGCAAATATTTTATTGTAGTCCCGATTTCATATTTTTTTCTTTACTAAGCACATAAACAATAGAACATCAACATAAATTTATGAGATAGATTTATGTTTAGCAAGCAAAGTTAGAAGGCACTGATATGTTAACTGGAGACATTAATTTTATAAGATTGAAGAAAAGGGCTCATGAAGTTTCATCCTCAAATATTAAAAAAAAAAACTCCACTCCTAACAAATAATTAAGGGGCATTTTTTTTTCTTTTCTTTTTTGTAATATTTCCTACCCTATGATATATATCATATTTTTTTTACATAATCATTCACATCCTTAAATAGGGTAGGCTAGTAAAATCCATATCGAAGGATCTTAGATATAGATCTAAATCCTTCAAATTACCCTCAATACTCGAATCATGACATTAACTAATTATGGGTTCAATCTCATCTTCTAGGACACACTGCCTAATTATTTGATATTTATACTTTCGAAATTAATAAGGCTCATCCTAAAAATAGAATTTGCTATCGCGCATAAATTTGTGTCTTTGTATGTATAACATATCAATTTGGATTACTCTACTAGCAATAAAGTTTTATTTGGGCATAGTCTAATATAAGATATGTAATTTTATAAAATATATAAAAAAATAAAAATCTATCTCAAGCTTTAATTAGAGGCTTAAGGAAAGTACAATAATATTACTAGATATAAAGTAGACACAAAATCAATTACAAATATTAAATCTATGCGAATATATAGAGAGATTCATCATAATTGCTTTTTACTAATTAAGATAGATGTCTAAGAGCTCTTAATTAAAAATAAAACATATACACTTTAAACAAAAAAGCCTTTTGATAAGTGCATGCTATGTAACTTACCTATTGAGTACCTAAAACTCATCATAAAATAGGGAGATATTATTACGTACTGCAGAGATCGAACATAAAGAATTGTTCGGATTTATCTCCGTGAAAAGTAAAAGCGCAATGGTGAACAATAAAAGCGTAGTTCGCTGCACTTTTACTATTCACAGAGACAAACTGGACGGATTTGTGTGTCTGGTCTCCACACATAATAATTCATCTAAAATAGATACATGTAAGAATATGTTGTTATATATTTGCATTTAAATAGCAGTATAATAGATTATTCATATCAAATCAGAGTGAATAGCCCATTTATTATAACATCTAATCATTGAAGTTCAATGAAATATTCATAATTAGTAGGATAAAGGCTTGTTGTTGCTGTTGTTGTATGTAAAGTTCAAATACTTCAGGGAAATTCAGCTCAAAAAGTTGCGTGGAGCTGTTCACATCGACATTGTCAGATATTTGAGAAAAAAATCAATGGGCTTTACAAGGCTGGAAATGCTAACGATGCGTTTAAGACTTTCAAAGAAACTGATTCAAGGGGGTTTTCAACCTAATATTATTGCCTATAACATACTAATTGAAAGTCTTTTGAAGGTTCGGCCAATAAATGAGGTTGCGATTCTTGTCTAACTATTTATAAAAAAAAAAAGAAAAAAAAGGAAGCACTACATTGACAAGAAGTAAAACTTGGGCTGAATAATAAAACGTGCGAGAGTTTTGCATTCTTCGGAATGAACCCCATAAGAAAAAAAACTGCTGATCGTAGCCACGTTTGCATTTCTACAACATCTGGCAGTTGGCATATAATTCAATTCAATTCATATAAAGAAGAAAACAAAGGATACAGTTTTTCACGCTTACTTTACAAAAAAAAAAAAAAAAATAGTTTTCCCTAGTTTTGGCTCTCAGGATTCTGCTCGCCAATCCTCTGCCCTAGCTTCCTTCTGCGAACGGTCGTTCGGCTCAGGTTTGGCGAGATCCATGTTCCACACGTGAGCACCATCTCCGTCGACTAAGCCTCCTCCTCTACGCGTGAAGAAACCCGATCGGAGAAGGCCAGATCCCCTCCTCTGCTTCGGCTCCTCACGTGAAACAGAATCGATGTCCAGCCCACTTTGTTTGCAAATCCAAGTCGTTCATCTTCTCCCTTGTGAACAAATGACCCAAATCGTTCTTATCTTGCCTCCTGTCCGATCAGCCTTACACAAAACAGCACATAGAAGAACTCACGTTCGTTTCGTCTGCTCCCTTGCAAACGAACAAGCTGAACGCCCTGCCGTTCATTCCCCCATCTCTTCAAGCTTGAGCAAACGAATTAGAAGAAGGATTCATTATATCTTATTATTATTATTATTTTTAAGATTATTAGTAATAATTCTAATTATAAAATGTAGGAGTGTAAGACATTGCAATCATTTGTCATAAGGCGTCATAACACTAAGATAAGCGAATCGAACCTACATTACACAATTTTTGGTATTCGGCGATATTCTAAAGCCCTTGATCACCGATTATTTCTCTAAATGGATGGATTGAAAGAGCAAGTGTCATCCCTTATCTCCTCTTGCAGGGAGAGGATGCCAAAATTTTAATAAAAAATTATTGCACTCATAAAATTGGAGTTTTTATTAATTTATTCATAACCAATAGAATCCTTACTTTAAAACTCTAAAATAATCAAATTAAGTATTTAACCGAACTTATCAAACAACTTAAACTAAAGCTGTATGGTGGGAAAAAATTGTGTATCACCACACAGATTTTGATTTCTCCTATTTTGTAATTAAATACTGCATTAAGAATAAAGTACAATCTCGAAAGACTGACATAATATTCTATAATGGATTCAATATCAAAATAGGATTTTGAAAATTGATATTTCTATAATCAAACACAATTCAAAGAATAACATATTATTTCGAAAGATAAACATGAAATTCTTAAGAATATATTTAAAAATAGAAATAAGCTTTTTTTAAAAATTTTATTCATTCTTTTATTTAGATATGACAAAAAGAATATTATATCATCTTAAAAGATGAACATAACATTCTTTAAGACATCTAAAAGCAAGAATGAATTTTATAAAATTCATCATTTCTAAAATTAAATATAATAAGCAAGAAATTATATTGTCTGAAAAGACAATAATAATATCCTACAAGTATATTTAAGATTAGAAATAAAGCTTTAAAGATATCTGCATTCCCAATTATTCTTCCCTTGTTTTATATGAGTGAAACAAGATTTATTTTAATCCGGGTTTCTCAAATCCCTATAGGAGAAAGCTCCTATAGTTAATTACATCCTATGAGGAATGCTCCTAAGAAAACTCTTGATTAAAGCTGTGATTTCATACCCTTATAACTACAAAGTAAAAGACAAGAAAATAGAAGTATGAATTTTCAAGGAGAAAGCTCAATGCTGAACATTTATTAACGAGTCAAAGGAAGAAAAGTAGGAGGTGCCAGATTCTTTGAAGCTCAGAGACAACCTCAGTCTATCCTATATTGGGTTTTACATTTTAGGATAAAATTTTATGTTTAAGTTGACATTATATTAGAAATTTAGGATTATATTCCCAAAGGGCGAGGACATAAGATCTAAAAGAATCTGCCTCAGAACCTAAGTCTAATTTGGGTACTACAAAGTAGTGACCCGAACCTAACTAATGAAGTGCAAATCTGGACTTATCCCGGCCTGGATTGGGGGGCCAGCTAACCACCTAGGCGATTTAAAATCATGTGTCAAGTCTCTTATGAAAGATAGATAGGGACATTGTTTAAGTTTTAATGAATTGGGGGCCGACATCTAAGATAAATCCTAATTGACCCCTCAACTTATGTAGGGTGATTTATGCCAAGAATAAAATATAATTAACATTTTAGACTCTTTTTAGTTTGTATCTAATGCAATGCATGCTAATTGACTCGAATGCTTAAAATAAATATGAAGCAGTTTTAAAATTAGGCTTAAAAAATAGGTTTTTCCCTAGAGATTGCACAACTTCCCCTTGACAGAACTGCACCCTCATAGGTCAAGTGGTCTGCCAGAACCCACAGGCGGGGAGGTGCCTAACAAGGAAGAGAAAGTAATAATATGCTTATGCTAACTCTCGGCGGTCCCGAGCTTACTTCTTAGAACGTTAGAGTTACTATGTGAGCCTAAAATTTTTCATAAAATCACTTTCACATTTTTGACTTTTAATACATTACATTTACACTCCCATTTACATCACAGAAAGAAAAAGAAAATCTAGACCATCTGCAGGGTTATCCTAAGCAGTTTATAATAAAAATCATCCCAAGCAGCTATATATATACATTTAAATTAAATTAATTAGCCACACTTGGCCACACTCTTTTTATTTGTGGGCTAAGCAGCTAAAGCACCTATAGCATTTATATGATTAATAATTAATTAGCCCCCTTTACTGCCCTGCACGAGTGTAGCCACCTGAAGAAAATTTTGTTAACAACCAGATTGCTCCTAACCTATGGGTAATCTAATTATCAGTCAAATCACATCACAGAGTGCTGTAAAAGTAAGTAAACAAATACACCAATAATTTTACAACCAACATGCAGTGAAAACTGAGAAAGCCCGTCACAATGCAGTAAGAAAGTAAACACCGGCCTAACCTAAAGCTAAAGTCGGTTGTCCTAGCAAACAAGTCTAAGTGTGTGTAGTAGGCTGTGTGGCTTGGATATATCCTATATCAGTTATTGGTTGAAGTTTTTGTTGAGTCTAGTGAATAGGTTATTAAACCTAAGTTAATGTCCCAAGGCTACCAAGAGGGGGGCGGGGGGTGAATTGGTATTTAAAAATTTTTCCTCTTTTGATAAATTTAACTGAAATTAAACTTTAATGAATTTTTTTTTATAAAAAGTTTTTCAACCACAAATTTTTAAAAAACAAAATTAAAAGCAGAAAATAAAAAGTTGTAAAATAAAAAGACACACGATTTATAGTGGTTCGGTCTAAACCAGACCTACATTCACTCCCCAGAGACACCCTCTAAGTATTACACTAATACTAATAGCGTCTCTCCTTTTGCACCCACAGCAAGGCGGAGAAGCCTTTATAAACACTCTTTTCACCACTACCGGTGCGGCAGAGAACTGTCGTCCTTTTACACTTTCCTTAGTGATGGCAGAGAACCGTCGTCCTTTTACACTCTCCTAGTGTGGGCAGAGAACCCTTCATCTTTCACACTCTCCTAGTGTGGGAAGAGATCCCTTCGTCCTTTCACAGTCTCCTAGTGTCGGCAGAGAACCCTTCATCTTTCACACTCTCAAAGTGTCGGCATAGAACCGGATCTCCTTGACAGATCTCTTCGCAAGAAATCTAGAAGGAAGAAAGAAAAAGAGTGAAGTAATCTCAAATTACAAGTAGGAAATCTTATCTTTGAACACAATGCAAAGCCTTAAAGCTCCAGTGGTAGAAATCCTTCTTTGACTGCTCTCTCTCACTCTCTCCTTTACTCTTATTCCAATAGGTACGAAGATCAATGAGCAAAAAGATTGGGTGGCAGTCTAATTTGAACTATATATACAAAAAGACAAGAAAAACTGTCCAAAAACTGTAAGTTTTCAATTCTGTACGCAGTGGATCGTCCCGTACGATCGTGGATCGTCCTGGATGATTTTACTTAAAGTGTCAGAAATGATCCTAAGGTATATTGGTACGAACTATGTTCATACATGCTCATCATCCAGTACGAACTATGTTCGTCCGGTACGAAACGGTTATTACATAGGTCGATTCCCAAAATTCTACAGGACGTAACCAACTGACGTAAATCAGTTCAGTTTGTCCTGGGACAAACAGGTTTCGTCCTGGGATGATGTTATACAGAGAGTTTCGTCCAGGGATGAAAATTTATTTCATCATGTACGATTTCATACAGAGAGCTTCATCCAGGGAAGAAAATTTATTTTGTCCTGAACAATTCCATACAGAGAGATTCATCCAGGGACAAAAATTTACTTCATCCTGTACAATTCCATATACAGAGCTTCATCCAGGGACGAAAATTTATTTCGTCCTGTAAGATTCCATACAGAGAGCTTCATCCCGGTACGAACCATAGATTTTATCTGGACGAATATTGCAAGGTGAGAATCTCGAGACGTTCGTCCCGAGATGAATATTAAATTCGTCCTGGACGATTAAGACTTAGAAAATTTTTTACCCGCCTGTTCGAACCACTGCTCTTTTGAGGGGTTAATTGACATGATCATCCCATACGAGCCTGGTTCATCCCGTACGATCAGTTTACAAAAAGTGTTCCCCAAGAGTGTGTTGTGATTTTTCACTCAATGACAATCACTCCCTCTCATTTAAAAACTTATAATTTACAAATGAATAATTTGAAGTCTTCATCGCTTGGAGTTGATTTTCCTGAAATGTTAGTACACACTAGAGCAAAAAATAAATCTTTCAAAAAGTGTTAGGAGTTTTATAAAATAATAATATTTGAAATCATAAAAATAATACAAGTTGCAAGCATGTAAAACATACAAATAGCAACTCTCTTTACAATCTCCCCCCTTTTCATTATGGAAAAATAATTATTGTTTGTAGGATTTCAAGTTCTAAGTATCTCCTAAACTCCCCATGAATTGATGAACTCATGAAAATAAGGAGGCATTTGAAATACTTTAAAAAAATTATTTTTCAAAAGCTTTATACAACACAACAACACAAAAGACAAAACAATAAAAAAATCAACCACACATACAAAAATCAAACACTATGAAAACATACGAAACAAATAATTTCTCCCCCTTTTTGACAACATCAAAAAGTGAAGAAGAAAAGAATTTTAGAAATATAAGCAGAAGTATGAAATTCATTTAATATTTTAATCTTGAAAGTGATTGAAATAAGGTATGCAAATAAAATCAAAACATTAGAAAAACATAGGATTTCAAATAATTTAAGAAGTGATATAACATAGAGAATAAAAAGAATTTATCAACGGCATGTGTCAATTTAGACATGAAGATATGGAAAATCATTGCACTAAGGATGAATAAAAAAATATTATATTTCAAATTTCAATATAAATTATAAATGAACATTAGATCAATTTGAATTAAGAGATTAAAAGAGTTTGGAATGAAGTAATTATCACATGTGGCGCTTTGCGCATCTTTTTCAATTTTTATGGCATATTTTTGTGCATCTTTTTCAATTTTTATGGCACATATTTTGTGCATCTTTTACTTTAGGCTTATTTTGTGCCTCTTTTTGTCATTACAATATTTTTGCACATTCCTTTTGATTTTT